CAACAATTTTAAGTTAAACTAATAATGATGCAAGGCTTTCAACCAATATCTGGAGAGGAGCCTACCGGCACATACAGATCTTCTGAGCACACAGTGAGAGGTTTCTACTGTTAGGCAGAGATCGACACCCCTGTGTAAACATGAAGAAGTTACAGAAGAAGAGACTTCCACCCATGTTCCCCATAAAGATTTATGAGTGTGAAATCTCTCAAGGGAATGAGACAGGTAGGGAGCAGCAGGACCCAATAAGTTAAAATTTAAAAAAAAAAAATCTAAGTTACAAAACTAAAAGGTTAACCAAGCCTAACTGGTATAGCTGGAGATTAACCTACATCCTGGAACATGAGACAAGAAAATAACCACCAACCCACCCACTTTTGTACTTTACTATCTTGTAAGATGTTTTTGCAGGTAAACCAGTTTGATCCAGTACTCCAGGTATGTGCACAAAGTCACAGAATGACCACTATCTGACCTTCCTGGGTATTGAGGCAAAAGCACTGGCAGAACTGAACCAATCCCCCAGAGAACAGTGCAAGTAAAATATCCCAGAATAAGTAATGTCAAGTGGATCCAACAGCCTTTGCAACAGACTCCATCTTGTGACCATAAGTCTTTGTGATGGGCTCCATCTTGGCCACCTCCTGTGCGTAAACCTAATGTTTGTAACACTTTCCCTCTAGCAGAAATCCCTATTACTTCATGAACAAAGATAATGCCCTTTCCTACTCAAAACCCTTTATAAAGCCCAGCAAAGCCTCTGTTCAGGTAGACAGCAAAACCTCTGTTCAGGCAGACAAAGGCTAGTGCTGCCTTGTCCCTCTTTGTCTCCACTTACAAGCTACTTTTTCTCAGTAAAGCTTTGTTCATATGAGAAGCCTGAGCGTCTCCTGGTAATTCTCAGTCAGTAGAAAGCAAGAACCTGACGGGGTAACCCCTAATGGGTAAAAAGCCCCCAACAAAACAACTCAGGATCAGGTCAGGATGCACACAGGCAAGATATGGAAGGATCCCCAAAGTGGAGAGCACATCCCTCCCTTCTTCAGTTCAGGACAGATTCTGACCAGGACAGCTGTCAGAGTAAAAGGCTCATGGAGCACATATGCTCCTTACTGGAACAGCTCTAGGACTGTTCTTGGCCAGCACTACTACCCTCCACCAGTGATCAGCAGGAGTGGCTTATCTGCTGAGCAGCTGCCTTGTCTGCTGTGCAGACTCCCCACTGTGAGTCTCTCCACTGTCAGCTTTTCTGTTAATGGGCCCAGTTCACAGCCAGTGTAGCAGCCTATGCAGCTCTCCATTATCAGACCCCTCCACCATCAGGCCACTAACTGGTCCATCTCACAGCCAGTGCAGCAGCTTGCTCAACTCTCTTAGCTGTTTCTGTCAGGCCTCTCTGCTACTAAATGGCTTAGCTCATAACCAGTGTAGTAGCTTCAGGACCACTTGGCTTCCATGTGGCTCTGCTTCTCTGCCAGCCCAGCTGTTAGCCAGCATCTCTTTCTCAACTTGTTGTTGTTGTTTTGCCATCGAGTCGGCCCCGACTCATAGCGACCCCTCCTTGGGTTTCCGAGGCAGTATCATTACGGAAGTAGGAATGCCCAACCTTCCTTCCGAGGAGTGGCTGGTGGGTTTGAACCGCCAGCCTTCTGGTTAGCAGTCAAGTGCCTTAGCCACTACTTGTTTCAGCTGTTTATAAAATCTGATTCTCATCAGTTACAAGGTGAGGCCTCCCTCACCGACCAGAATTTAACCAATTCTCAATTACCCATGAGATGTCAATCAACTCAGGTCTTATTACCAGACAAAAGTATCAAAACATCAAGTTGTTTACAATTTACTCAGGAAATGTCAATCAACGAGCAGATCCCTTGAGCAAAAGTAATAAACCCTGTAGGGTAAAAACCACCCAAGGGCATCACCCCCTCCCCCCAAATTGCTTCTCCAATGAACTAGACCAAAGTAAGGACTCTTTAAAACTTAGGGAGACAATCTCCCAAGCAGTTTTTCAAAAAAAAAAAAAAAGCAAAAGGCCACACAAAGGAACTCATTGCACCAGAGAGGAAAGGGAATATTTACTGAAAGAAAACTCCAAATTATTATGTTCAGCATCTCATCTTCCACTCCTGGGTATACACCCAACAGAAATGCGTATACATATGAGCGAAACATGGATAAGAATAGTCATAGCCAATTATTCTTAATAGCCAAGAAGTAGACATAATCCAAATGTCCATCTTTCTCCATTGCATTAATGGATAAAGAAAATGTGCAATACCCACACCTACATATATTGTTGTTAGGTGCTATCAAGTTGGTTCCAACCCACAGCAACCTAACATATAACAGAACTGCCCCATCCTGTGCCATCCTCACAATTGTCGCTATTGTTAAGCCCATTATTGTAGCCACTGACTGTCAATCCATTTTGTTCAGTGTCTTTCTCTCTTTCACTGACCTTCTACTTTACCAAGCATGATGTCCTTCTCCAGGGATTGGTCCCTCCTGATAACATCTCCAAAGAAATGAGATGAAGTCTGGCCATCCTCACTTCTAAGGGGCATTCTAGCTGTACTTCTTCCAAGCAAGATTTGTTTGATCTTCTGATAGTCCATGATATATTCAGTAGTCTTCACCAACACCATATTACAAATGCATCAATTCTTTTCCAGTCTTCCTACATAAACAGCAATGAAAATGAAAGAACACACAAAACATGATGAATCTCACAAACCCTAATATTCCTCCGACGTAACCAGACATAATTCAATCAGATAAAATTCAATATATAAGCAAAACTAAATTGTAAAACTTTTAAGGATATATACTTAAGTGGCAAATCTATGAAGAAAAATTAGGAAGATATTACCACAGATGTTACAATAGTGATTACCTAGAGATCGGTGGTTTGAACTCACCAGCTGCTGCACAGTAGATATGGTAGTCTGCTTCTGTAAAGATTTACAGTCCCAGAAACCCTATGGGGCAGTTCTATTCTTTCTTCTAGGGTCTGTATGAACTTGAATCTACTGGACGAAAACAGGTTTGGCTTGGCATGCTGTATTTCTTGACCCAGGAAATGATTTCATGAATATATGCTTTGTGATAAATTGTACATTGTGATTTTGTGCACTTTTTTGTGTTGTATTTTATTCTCTGCTTCTCCAGCCATACGTCTTCAGTTCTTGATCATGCTTAATTTGACTTCTTCTCAGGGCCTATATGCACTGCTTTGCCTTCTGCTTGGAAAGTTTTCCCTCCAGATCTTCCAAAGTTGGTTTCTGTTATTCAGGTTTGACCTTACGTACCTTATTCAGCTCTGCCTCTTCTGCCCCTAGCCTCCAGCATTTCCAATGTTTTCCCAGCACACATCCTTATCTGAAATTCTATTTTGTTGTTGTTTATCCATTTACTGTTTGTCACTCAGCTCTACAATTAAATTCCATTATATGCAAAGGCTTTATAATCTTGGAGCCTAATGCAGTATTTGCCACACAGTAAACACTATTCAATCGAATTAATAAATCTCTTCGTATTTCCATCGCATGGCATAGTGTCCTGGATCAGGGTATCCGTTGTTGTTGTTGTTGTTATTTGCCTTCGAGTCGGCCCGACTCATAGCGACCCCTCCTTGGGTTTCCGAGGCAGTATCACTACGGAAGTAGGATTGCCCAACCTTCCTTCCGAGGAGTGGCTGGTGGGTTTGAACCGCCAGCCTTCTGGTTAGCAGTCAAGTGCCTTAGGCACTATGCTACCAGAGCTCCGTAGCACTTCATAATTCTCATTGGTGCAGATTAGGAGAGAGCTGAATTAATGTTATTTATGGTAACCTTAGCTTTCTCTGCATAAATTATAAACTTCTAGAAACGTTTATCCCGGGAAGTAGCACTTACACAAATGCTACGTCAGTTTAACACATTAAATTGAAACAAGGACGAGATTTGGTAACTACTGCATTTTAACAAGAAAATACAAGTGTCGCGGCAGGTGCACTGGGACTCACTGGAAACCAAGAAGCAGGACTCTAGTATGAACCAGCCACCCCACAGCAAGCGTAGGCCGTCCACCTTTTGCGTCCGTAGGGCTCTTGCGGTGTGCGCTTTCTGTGTCTATGGATGCGTCAGACAGAGGACACAGTACTCCCTGGGTCCCGCCCTTCCGGTCTGCAGCTACTCCCAGACACCATTCTCATGCCGGGACAAACGCTGGCCCCTCGCGCCTGCGCAAACAGAAGAAGCAAGTGCCGCGTGTACGCCGAAGGAGACCCGCGCCTGCGCTTGGGTATCTTCGCAGTGATTCGTTCCTACTTCAGGATGATGCCTCAGTTCAGTTTTCACTTTCTCTTTTTTTTTTTCTCCTTTTCTGCCGGGAGGTTTTACTTCCGGTTGCTTGCGACCGTCTGTAAGAAAGTCGACATGTTACCTCAGGCAGTGTAGCGTCACAGAGTTCTTTCTTTTCGGTGACTTTTTTTTTGGGAAGAACCGGAGGCTTTGCTGAGAAGTGCGGCGGTCCTGACGGCTTCGAGGCTCGATTCCTTGGCCCACCATCCCTTCGTCCTTTCAGCACCTTGGAGCGGCGTGGACTTGAGAGCTACACAGTGGCGCAGACGCCTATGCCAAAACCCGGACTCGGGGCTTCCCTCTCTCTTGAGTCGTTCCCCCTTCTACTCTTAGTCGTCTACTCCCTGCATTCTTGGCAGAACGTCAGGGAAAAAGGAAGATTGGCCATCTTGCGGACGAACTGTTAGGTGAATAGGTTTGGGTTCTTTTGAGGTAGAATTTTGGAGAGATTTTAAAAACTTGGGGTTGAGTTCGCCTATTGGAAATTGGGGAGGAGAGGAAATTACAGAAGCTAGTCGAGGTCTTCATCGTTAAGAAGAAAGAGACGTCACCGTTTTAAAAGAAAAATTCGATAGTTTAGGTTATATATGTCACATTTGACCACAAGGGACCGAGAGAAAGGAAGCACATGTGTGAAAAGAGAAGACAGAATCTAAAAGCATGGGAAAGAAATTGAACAATTATGTGAAGTTTTCAGGGGCGGCGGCAGCCCTAAGTACAGGTAAAATTTCATCTGTTTTGGGCTCACTGATTTGTGCACCTGTGTAGACGACTGGAAAGAAGGAGAAGCTCCAGTCCTCCAAGGTTAGGTGCACAGTATAGCTACTTGGGACTTTCGTGGTTGCTCTTGGGGGCTTTGCTGTTACACTTTTTAAAAATTATGATTGATTTTGCATGTATTTCTTGGTTGAGTGATTAATGCGTTACATGTTTGCCCTGTGGTGGGGTAGGAGGGGTCGGTGCTTTTCTGGATCATCTCTGCTTTTTAAATAACTCGGCGTTTTGCAACCTGTAGCCATTCTCAGTACTCACAGCATACAGATCTTAATTGTTTCTAGGAAGTCACCATTTTACAAGTCTTACAGAGTTTCACAATTCATCTGTCACCTTTTTGAGACCAAAAGTCTACAACTTTTAAGTTTAAGCACTTCGTTTGAGTTACTGGACAGCTTCGAAGGACAGCATCCTCATGCGTGTTATAGTTACATATTAATTACTTGGCTGATTTCTCTCAAATTTAGTTTGAACTGGCTAGAAGATTTTCTCCGGGTGTCTCTTTAATTGTGGTGAAAATGTACATAACAAAACATTCGCAAATTCAACAATTTCTACATGTGTTTTTCAATGACATTCATTATATTCGTCACCTACCGGTTCTTTATGAAAGTCTACCGCTCATGTTTCTTGCTGAAAAGACGTCAGGGCAGGGCTTGCCTTTTTCTTTTTTTTTAAAGTGGGTATAAAAGGAGGAGGTCTATTCACACGGAAGATTATTAGTAGAAAATTTAAGCAATGTGTAAAGAATGTCATAATGTATTGGTCCATGCAGCTCAGCATTTTGTCTGAAGGTGGCACTAAGCAGCATTTTGTGGGAAAATGTGGCAGATTAACTTAAAAATTTGAGGAAGATATTTTGAAAATCCTCAAATTTCTCTTAATGACCACTTATTTATTTAAAATCTAAAAATTTAAGCCCTTCTTACCCTTCCTTATTATACCTACGATATAAAATTAGAGTGATAACATTGATGAAATAGTACTGTACCGATTGATATATGGTGTTATTGCAGTAATATTTAGAGACCTCAGGGTCTGTGGTGTTCCAAAAAAAATCATTAACATGGAAAATTGGAAAGGTTGTGGTATTTAATATTATAGCATATGAGACTGGTAGTAACCCTACCCACCAGGTTTTTAACAAAGCAAATGTTCCTTATTGGGTACTCTTGTTGAAAAACTGCCTTGTAGAATTGGATAGCTGTATACAATATCTTCAATAAATAACTAATGCAGGTCAGAGAAAAAATATGTTTCTCCACAATTAAGAAAGTGTTTGAAATGTGTCCTGTATCTGGTAGAATTGATTCCTTATGAGAACACTGGATAATATGCTTTTAAATTGTCCTCAAATGATCATATCTTTTTATATTCAGTCTCTCAAAAAGTGTGTTTCTGTCTTCTTGTTAACCAGCACTGGATGTAAAATATATTTTTAAAAATATCTTGTCAACTAATAACTGAAAAGAGTGTCTTGTTTTAATTTGATATGTTCCTTGGTGAATAAGAAAATTGAGCATTTTGGCAGGTTAATATGCTTTGCTCACCTTTTTTATTGGGTTCTGAACATGCTTCTTTGACTCAATTTGATATTACCACACTGTTTTAATTATTGTAGCTTTATAATATATTATGGTAAAGTTATGGGCTTCATTTGCATTTTCTCTTTCAGGTAAAATTTAGGATCTTTTTACAAAGGAGGTCTATAGAAAATTTTGTTGGGATATAATTTATGATTGCATTGAATTTATAGATTAATTTGAGAAGAGAGATTCTTTGGAGTTTCTACTTACAGGGGAGTGGGTATATCTTCCTGTTTCTTCTCTTAAAAGTTTTGTTGTGGAATATGCCACTGAGATACACAATTGGAAAAAAAAAAATCTGTGTACCCTACTTAATAGAAAATCACAAGTTCCTTAGAAGCCTTTTGTTTGTCTCTCCCTTGAAGCAAAATATTTCCTGCCTCCATCATAATGATCATCTTGAATTTTGTCTTGATTATTTTTTGTTTTTCTTTATACCTGTGGTAGTTAAAGTTGTATGTCAACTTGGCTGGGCCGTGACATTGAGTAGCTTGGCAGTTAGTTGCAGTTATTCCCCATGATGAGATTGAACGTGGTGTAATCAACTCCATGGTGTAATCTGCTGTTGTTGTTATGTGCCATCGAGTCAG